GTCCTAATGACAGTCCCGGATGCTGGAATTAAGTTCTCCTCCCATCTCTCATTCCTGTTTTCTGTTGCAGCCCCTTGTTAAGGTATGTCTTCATGTCCACTTTAGAAACTATACAAATTGCACAGAAAAATGTTGAACTGTGCTAAAAATGGGGGGACGGGGGATTTTCCCCCCCTTCCTTCCCCACAGATGCATTTATCACCAGGGCAACTTAACTTTAGAGTTCACTAAAAATTCAAGCTGTTGGCTTAGATCCATTAAGAGAGAAGTTTTATAGACTGAGCTAAGTGTGAATTACAGTTATGGTTATGGCATTTTTCTTTCTCTCTCTCTCTCTTTCTTTCTTTCCCTTTCCCTTTCCTTTTCCCTTTCCTTTTCCCTTTCCTTTTCCCTTTCCTTTCCCCCTTCCTTTTCCCCTTCCCTTCCCTTCCCTTCCCTTCCCTCCCCTTCCCTTCCCTTCCCTTCCCTTCCCTTCCCTTCCCTTCCCTTCCCTGTGTCTCTTTGTGTCTCTTTGTGTCTCTTTGTGTCTCTTTCTGTCTGTCTGCTGCTTGACTGTTACTCTGGCACAGAAGCAGTTACAATTGCTAAGTATTTCATAATGCAGCTTTCTTCTGCTGCTTGGCAGGTCTGGGAGGAACCTTGGGGGATTTAAAAGGTGGTGCCTCTGGAAAGGGCATTGGAGGTGGTGGTGGTGGTGGGGCTAACCACTCGTTTTAGCACCAGGTATAAATAATTGTCCTTTTCAGTCACAGAACAGAGTGCTCAGCCTGGCTGCAAGACTCTCAGGATGTCCTTGTTAATCCAGAAATGAGAGAGGAGGTGCATTTCTCTTCTCAGTTGTGCACTGTGCACTCTGGCACTAAATGAAACCACTGGCTTAATTCCAGGAAGGAAAAGCAGTGGGTTAAGAGGAGTTCACCCCTGCCCCCTCTCTTCTCTTCCACCATGTTCAGGTGAGACAGACCTTCTAAGTCCACAGAGGGGGCTTTCACAGCCCTGAAACTGGAAACTCTTGTTTGCAATAATCCCAGTGACAAAGTGCAGAAAGAAGGGTTAAGCCATGGGTCTTTGTACGTCCGCGCCCCGTGCTATTATCTTTACAAGCGCATGCTGCTCACAGGGGCTGCCACCCTGCAGAAGGCAGGCCACTGCTGGGCTGTGGGGGCTGGTGGCAAGGGACAGGGGAAGGTGGGCTGTGCAGAGAGGAGCAGGTTGGGGGGCACATGCCCAAGTCCTGTGGGGCAGGGCCTCTCTAGCAGTGCCCCAATAGATGGGCCAATTCCTTTCTGATCTGAGTGGTGCTTGATGGAGATCCAGCACCCTGTTTTCAGGAGTGGGATGCGACCAGGATGGGTGAACTCCCCATTTCACTTGGAGGATAAAGAGCATGGTTGGGAGAGGATGGCAAGTGGGAGGATGTGTCTGCTCAGGAGAGGCAGTGGGAAATGTTAGTGCATGTGGAGGTATGGTTGAGCTAGCTGCTATGGCTGAGGGCTCCTCTGAAGAATCAGAAGAAGTGTTCTTTGCTTTTTTTTTTTTTTTTTACTTTTTTTTCTTTTTCATTGCTTCAGTATTAGGAGCTGGAGAAAAGGTCTTGCCTAATGACCGAGTCAGTGTGTGTTGGCTGTGTTGAATTACTGGCTATTTTTAGATACTGGAAGCTCTCCTTGAGAGAGCTGAATGCCCTAATTACTGGGTGGATCAGTTTTCAAGTGGGGTGGGATCAGTGTAGCAGTCTGAAAGGCCACCCACAGGTAATGAACTGCTGGCGTGGAGGGAAGAGAGGCCAAGTAAACTCACCTGCCCTGGCTGCTTCTCCCTTCTCGTGGTGAGCCTGGACAGGGCAGGTTTCTAGAAGTAATGGGCGCCAAAAGAGCGAACCAGCAGATCCTGATTTCACTGGCTGCCTTGTGCCAGTGGAGGATCTGCCTGGTGTTCCTCAAACAAGCAGCAACAGCCTTTTGCAGCCTTTAGAAACAGTCCATGGACTTCAGCACTGTTCAGTTACAGGAAGCATTGGCTGATTATTATTAGGTTTTTGGGATAATTCAGGCTGAAAGGAACCTCAGGAGGTCATCTAGTCCAACCTCCTGGTGGGGCAGGCTAGAACTGCAGCCAGGGCTGACCACAGCCTACGCCCTCAGCTTGCAAGAGAGATGTCTGGTAGGAGCAGTCAGGTGTGCTGGACCTAAAATTATTTCTCCAAACATGGCCAAATGCAAATTTGTGAATTTACATTTCTCCATTGCACTCAGAGTGACACAGACTTACATTATCTTGTATTTCTTCAGAGGATTTCTCTTAGATACCTACAGATTCCCAGTGTTGGCCATCTCCAAGGCTGAGACAGCAATCGCAGTCACTCCCTTTCCACCACCCCTGTACAAGAACTCATTAGGTCAATTTGGGATGGGCTGGTTTTCACATGCATTTAAGGAAAACAAAAACACTGCACCTCCCCCCCCCCCCCCCAAAAAAAAAGAGAGAAGAAAAGCCTTGTTCAGGAGACAAACTTCTGCTAGAAAGTATAATGGGATATGGTATGTAAAAGCTTTCTGCCTTTCGTTGCAGCATGCCTGTAAGTACATAAATACATGGATGAGAGAGAACAGAGGGGTTAAATGGAGGCATTTTCTGCAAGAAGAACTGAATGAACCTCAAATCATAAGCAATCCAGACACTGGCATTCCAGCTTTGTCTGTCCTGTTTACCAGCCATTTTGTTCCTCTCTGGGGCCTTGCTTTGTCCATGGGGACAACTACCATATTGCAAGTAAACACTGCTGCATCCTCTGCTCCCCTTTCTTGCCTGTCTATGCTTTACCCATGGGAAAAGAGAGAAGATACAGCTCCGAATGACACAGAGTGAGTAAACAAATCTCTTTAAAAGAAAAATTGTGCTGAGCAGAAGTGGCCTGTTCCTGAGAGCTTTGAAAACTGGCATTGCGTTCTGGCTGGGAAAAGACTAAAGTACAAAGGTTTCTGTCCCTTGCAGTAACTATCCCCTTGTGCACACAGGCATTATGGCTTTTGGTCAGGGGCCATGTGTATGAAAGCCCATGGACTAACATGCCTTCTTCCTCTGGATGAGACCTCATAGGCTGGCCAGCAGTCCAACAGAACACTTTGCAGCTGGAGGAGCTCATTAAATCTAGTCCCATTAAATCTGTAAGGGCTGCAGACAATGCAACAGCTAGAAAGCTGCTCTGGTCTGTCTTGCGCTATCATCAGGCACAGCAACAAGGAACTGAGATGTATATGGCTGCTTCCCTGCCCGTGAGCAGACACGGGGGGGGGGGTCACACAGAGCCTCTGTAGCTGGATGCAGTTGTACATTGGGGTTAGAAACCAAGGAAGGAATGCAGAGGAGCCTGCTGGAGGGTGGTGGGTCTGCTCTGTCGGGACGCTTGCAAACTCAGCAAAGGCATCTGCCAAAGAGAGGCCAGCCCTGGGGTGAGCCCACCTCAGAAAGCTCAGCCTCAGCCCATCCCAATCCTAGAAAGCCCTTCACAGACATGGGGGAGCACGGGCCGACCAAGCTGAGGGTGGAGTTCTACCTAGCCCTGTTGTCTGGTTTCCAGATCTGGTCCCTTTCTCAAGGAGGGCCAAACAGACATTGAGTCAGTTTCCAGACAGGCAGCCAATTCATTCCAGGGGATGTTTCTTGGCCCCAAGTCTGCCTTGTCTAATGGCATAAGGACTGCAGGCAGGGGAAGGTGGCAGTGCTAGCCAGCACCAATGGCTTCTGAAAATCCCACCGACTCCTTTCCCCTTTTGATCTTCCACTGGGCAAGGCAAACAGGTTCGATTTGCAGATCTCTCCTCCGGATCGCTCAAGCCCAAATATTAATATTTACAGGAAACCGTGTTTGCAGCCAGAGTCTGGCGTCTGCAGACTGATACCCTGCCACGGAGCAGCAGGAGTGGAGCTGCAGGAAAGCTAGATGGATTACCACCATTCGCCTCTGGCACTGGGGACTCGACAACGTAAGCTCAGAAGCCGAGGGTGTGTTTCAAACACTCGGAGAGTGGCTCTGCGCCAGGGCACCAACACGACGAGCTGCTGGAGGAGGTCGGGTTCAGTGCGACCTGCTTTCCTTGCGGACCTTTTGCGTGGTTTCCCTTCGCAGTCCCAAAGCGTTGCGCCCGTGTGGGCACCTAACAGGACCGCTGCTCCTTTCTGAGAGTGCAGCTTTGGGCGCCACGTTTGAGGCTGCCTGGCGGGGTTTAAGCAGAGCAGCAGCTTTTTGCTCAGACCCTGCCGCTTCTTGGTGTTGTTTTGATAACCGGCTCGCCTTTGTGCTCGCTCCGAGCCCGCTGCAGCTTCTGTCCACCCTCACACAGGCTGTTTTCTCCCTCAGGCTTGCGGCAACCCGACGGACGGCCCCGGGAGCAGTGCCGCGGGGAAAATCAGGAGGGTACGATCGCGTTAAAGCCTTCTCTGCAGCTTTTAGCTGTGGAAAACCTTGGTCTAGCCTAAGGAAAGCAAGACGCTGCTCTACGCCAGCTTTCAAAACACTTGGTATCCCTCCCCCAGAGGTGCAGGTGGCGGCCGTGAGGCTGCTGCAGGGAGTGGGGACAGCGCTGTAAAGTACCGGCTCCATTTCTGCCCGTTGCTGGAAGAAGGAGCCCCCAGGCCCCTTTACCAGCCACCGAGCTCTGCCGGCCTAAGGGCTCGGGCTCGGGCTCGGGGCGCTGAGGGCCGCCGCCGGGAGAGCCGGGCCGGGCCGGGCCGCCCTAGCCTGCCTCCCGCTGAGGTACCGCCGCGGGGCGGGTCTGAAGGAGGAATGGCTCCGGCCTTCCTCCCGGCTCCCGCGCTGCCGGAGCGGAGGCGAACCGCCCTCCTCCCGCCGGGGAAAAAACCACCTTAACGCGGAGGCAGGAAGCCGCCGGGCCGGCAGGCACCAATCAGGCCGGCCCGGGGAGTGGAGGGCGGCGGC